AAAAAAATGCCTGCAGTATTAAAAGCATCCTTTGAAGGATAAGGATGGGTGCCTGGGGAGATCACCCATGCAAGCCCCAAGGTCATTGCTCACAGTTTCCACCCTGTATTTTGCCCAACAGGTCCATAGCAGGGAGATGGAGAATCGGAAACAGAGTTCCCATGGCAGATGGGGTCTCTGCATTTCAGAGCAGCCTGTCTAAAGCTGAAACAACTTCTTGCTTCCAGGCAGTCCCAAAGTGAGCAGGGAAGGTCACTCCAAAGCCCTTGAGGAGTTGATGGTTTCAGAGTCTGGGTCCTTGGAGCCAAGCAATGAGGTGCCATCACCTCCTCAGTTTCTAAAAGCCAGGTGTGAGGAAGCAAAGTGCTTCCCAGGCCTGATCCCAGCCCACGAGCACCACAGGAGCCCAAGGCTCTGCCACCAATTAACACAGAGGCAGCCTTCTTGTGCGGGCAGTCAGCAGTGCTGACTCTGCTGTTGGGGTCCCCAGCCGTGGTCTCTGCAGGATGGGAGACAGCAGAGATGGCCATTGAGCAGGGCAAACTTGCTTGTAAGCCTGAAAAAACCAGAAAAAAATCAAAACTAAACTGCCACCCTCATGCTTTGGTCCCAAGTGCTGGCAGCAGCACATCCCACTGCCAGTTCCTGCAGACAGTGTGGCTGCACAGTCCTCCCAGCTGTTGCTGGGGCTGTCACACTGCAAACCCCTTCCCTCTGCCCAGGCTCAGCAGGTTGGTCCTCATGGCCCTCTGGCAAAAAGCTGACCAGAAATAGGGCATTTAGGGCATTTAGGGCATTTATATACTTTGTGCACAAGGCCAACACCATGGGCAATGCACACCAGGGGTTGAAGCCAGGGGTTAGCTGGAAGCAAGTCAGTAGGTCTCGGTGCTGCGGCAGGACATGTGGATGCAGGGAGGTGAAGGGAGGGAGCTCTTGACCTATTTTCCCTGGGCCCCCTGCCATGTGCAGGCAGGGAGAGCTCTCCCTCGCCAGCAATGTCGGTGCCCGTGCCAGCAGGGACATGCCCATTGCTCCTGCTGCTCCCCTTTCCTCTTTCTGGAGCGGGCGTGGGGCATCGCCAGGTGCCCTCCACCCCCAGGTCTGCCTGGCACCACCAAGGGCTGGCTCTCCAGCCTTTGGACCCTCGTCATTGTGTTGATACACATCTGTTCCACCAGCAGGTCCCAGTGCCTGTCCCCATGGCATCCCTAACCACAGGGTATGGGCTAGATCCTGCTCCAAAAGGGGCTGTGGGCAGTGTCACCCTTCCTGCAGGTTGTTTTCTCCTGCAGCCTGGTGGGCTATTCGGGTTGCATTTGAGGAACCCCATCTTAGTCTTCTAAATTTGGCCTTCTTTTTTATTTAAAAAACAAGCGAACGCCGCCACCACCACCACCCCAAAAAAAAAAAGCCAAAAGAAAAGAACCAGAAAACCCACCCCAAATCCTGACTCTCCAGCAAATTGCAGAGCGTGTTCCGCGTGCGCTGTTGCGGTGTTGGCCGGCAGAGCCTGCAGACAGCTTGCAGTAGCTCTGGAAGGTGTGTGCTCTTCTGTTTATCAAATGAGTGTTAACTCTGCAGCCTTCTGTTGATGATCTAAATGCCGTCATCGGTAACTATTTCCCTGCTGCTCAAAACATGACGGGGAAGTGAAGGCCAGCAAAGGCGCCTCTTCCTGAGCCCTCAGGTGGGCTTGTTGCATGGGAAGGGCTTGGAAAAAAATACCATTACTCTTTTCCATGAGGAATCAGGTGATTCTTAGGATCAGAATAGGCAGGGAACAGCTGATTCAGTACCTGTCCAGCCCCTGACACCCCTGTCAGCTCTGCAGGTGCTACATGAGGAGAGGAGAGCAGGGTGGAGTGTGCTCTCCCTGCCTGGGGGTGATGGAGCCAGGCATCTTCCCACCGAACCCATTGCGCTGAGTCAGCCCCAAACAGGAGCTGGGGAGGAGCACAGGGCACTGGCAAAAGACAGGAGGAACAGCCTGTGGCAGAGCCAGGCCATGGCAGCTCCAATGGGTGTCATGGGGAGGTTTTTGCCATCAGCAAGTGACTGGTATTTGATTTTCCGACACTGGAACGTTTGCTTTGTTGGCTCGTTCCCTTGGTTACGTGGTATATATTAAGTTCTTCATTTGGCTTCCTTATACAATTAACTGGCATTTCGTGGCGTGGATTTTGGAAACACAATCAGAGCTGAAACTTTGCGGTCAGGCCTGGCTGACCCCAGCGTGCCTGGCCAGAGCAGGCTGCTCCCAGCAGACACCACTTCGAGTGAGCGCCGACACTGCTGGCTGTCAGGGAGCAGTGCAAAACACTGCTCAGCATTGGCAGCCCTGAGGTTTGGGGACTGGGGATGCCCCTGGCCCCCCTGCCTGGCAGCGGGGTGCCTGACGGGGTTGAGTGCTGGGGTGTCTGTGCACCCCGGGCGCCTGCCAGCTCGCACGCTGCTGGCTCTCGCCACGACTCACAGATTGTCAGAGTTTTCTGCAGATCCCCATCCTGTAGGGATGTGTACACTGTTCCTCCGAGGCCGTGGGTGTGCATATGGCTGGCTGTGTGGCAACTGTGCTGAATGCCAAAGCAGAGAGGACAATGTGTGTAGTAGCAAAGGGTGCCAGGAATCTGAGTCGCTGGAAAGCTGGAGAGAGGCGACGCCGCGCCCCACGCACTGGGATACCAACTGCAGGGATGAGCTGAGCCCGAGGGCTGCGCTGAGAGAGACTGTGAGGGTGGCACGGGCCAGTGAGCTGGCTGCACTTAGGATTAGTCAGGATGGCAGGACGAGAGGAGGGAAAGGCAACTCATGCAGGAGGGGGAACCTGTGGCAAGGGAAGCAATGCCCCTCTGCCCTCAGGAGCACAGTCCAGGGCAGCACTGTGGCAGAAGGTGGCACTGGCCATGTGTCCCTGTCCCTCTGAGGCTGTCAGAGATCCTGCTCTGGTTTAATCCCATCACTTACGGTGCTTTTCTGCCTCGGGATCCTTCTTTAAGAGGACTAAAGTCTTTCCCAATGTGCTGGGAGGATCTGAGCATTCTGTTGTTGGGGCATCTGAATGTCCCAGCTCTGAACTCTGCCCTGAAATCTTCCAGTGGCTGAAAGGCACCAGGCACAGAGCACATCCAAGAAGGGACAACCCTCTCAACCTGTGTTCCCTGGAGCCTCCATCCCATCTCTCTTCTCTGGACTCTCCCCAGCCTTATCCTTGAAGCGCAGTACCCACAACAGGGTGTGAGATTTCTTTGCCCTCCCAGGACAGGGGATGAGGGTGAGTGTGTCACAGGTGGCACAGCCCCATCCCAGATCCTGCAGAACTGCTCCTCCACCTGGACCCCTGATTATTGCCAGCTAGAAAAACTCCTGCCTGCTGAATCTGGGGTCCCATCACCTCTGCTTGGTCGATCAGAACTGACTGTGCCCTGTCACCTGGTTTCCCAGAGTGACTCAAATTATGAGAGTGAGTTCGGTCCCCTCCAAAAAAACTATGAGTCAGCAGCGTTCCCTGGTAGCCAAAAAGCACCATGGCCTGAGGTGCTTCAGGCCCAGCATCACCAGCCTGGTGAAGGAGGGGATTGTCCCGCTCTGCTCTGCACTGGGGCGGCCTCACCTCAAGTGCTGGGGGCAGTTTTGGGCACCACAATGTAATAAGGATATCAAGCTATTAGAGGGCATCCAGAGGAGTGCTACAAAGGTGGTGAAGGGTCTATAGGGGAAGCCATATGAGGAAAGGATAAGGTCACCTGGAGGAGGAGACTAAGGACAGACCTCATCGGGACCTGTGGCTTCCTCACGAGGGGAAGACGAAGGGCAGCACCGATCTCTGCTCTCTGCTGACCAGTGACAGGACCCAAGCCTGAGGCTGTGTCAGAGGAGGTTTAGGTTGAATCTCAGGAAAAGGTTCTTCCCCCAGATGGTGGTCGGGCACTGAACAGGCTCCCCAGGGCAATGGTCACGGTCCCAAGGCTGCCAGAGCTCAAGAAGCATTTGGACAACACTCTCAGGCCCATGGTGGGATTCTTGGGGCTGTTCTGTGCAGGGCCAGGAATTGGATTTGATGACCCTTATGGTTCCCTTCCAACTCAGGATATTCTATGAAAACTGTTGCTGTTGAGTGTAACAGCTCTGGATGCTCCAATAGCCAATTGCTTTGCAAATCTTGTTAAATTTTGGACGTTAGCAGCTGTTTATGGTCTGATCCTAATGACGTGGAGTGAACCTGCTGCCTTGTTTTCCTGTGTATGGCTGGTTATGAGAAAAATGGATTTTTTTTGACTGTACATTTACCATTTTAGAGCCTACAGTTGCATCCCTTTTGTTTGTAACCATTATGTTTCCGAGAGCTCTGCTTTAACACTCTGAGTATGGGAGACCTTTAAGTGTGGGGATCAGTATGGTGTACAGCACTGAGACAGGCTACACCATTTTTGTATATAAGGGCAGCACAATGTTTTCACCTCTCACTGTGCCCCACTCTCACACCTTGTTTCCTTTGCACCCAACTAATTTCATAGAATGAATTATTCCGAATTTTCCGTTAATACAATCATGCTACTAAAAGATTTTAAAAATATAAGCTGCTAAAGGTGTTTATTATGTTATTATGTACAGACATTTTTTTCTTTTAAATGGACCGACCCCCTCTCTTCCTTTCCTCCAGCAGTGAATTCCTGAGGTTAATTATATGCTGCGTAACAAAGGTGTTATTTCCTTTTGTGCCTTCAGTTGAGTTCCTTTTCACGGCTGAAGAAATGAGCTGGGAGAATAAAGGCTTTGCACTGAAGTGCATTAAAGTCAGTGGGCTTTGGCTCATACCCAGGAAGAAAAGCAGCACATGGTTTAATTCCAGGGCAGGCTCAAGCAGTTGCATTTAAGGTTTTTTCAGCGGTGATGGTGCAGCTTTTTGGTTGGATTCTTCATATTCAGCTGTCAGAGGGGAAAAATGAATTCCCCAAGGACCAGCACATAGTCGTAACACGCTGTCTCCCTCTCTCCAGATGAATGGCAGTGATGGGATGTTCAAATATGAGGAGATCGTCTTGGAAAGGGTAAGTACTCTTTACTCACCCGCCAGCAGTCTTTGCTGCCTCTTCCCACTCACCCACCCACCAGCACAGCCAGCCCCCCAGGCATCCCTGCACCAGCTGATGGGGAGGGGTTGGTCGATGCTCCCTGCTCTCTCTGGAGGTTTTTGCAGGTGTCGCACTTGCTTTGCCTGCCTGGCCCTGCAGCACGGGGAGAGGTGGGCTTGCTGCTCCCCTCTCCCCCTGCAGACCCCTGCAGAAGGCAGGGAGGAGGGCTTCTCCCTTGCCTCCCTCTCTCACACCCCCACCCACACAAACCATCAGTGCAGTGGAGGAGGCTCTTTGTCATTGCCTTTGCCAGAAAACGGAGGTGCAGGGAGCTCTGCTTGTGCTGGCACTCAGGTAGGTGCACCCCACAGCTGGGCACAGGGGACAGATGCCACCCTGCCACCAGACTGCCCACAGCTCTGGGGTACACAGCCTTGGGATGCTAAACTGCAAGAACAGGTTTTATAGTAAAACAAGCCACAATGGGAGAAGTTTCTGCTGAAGCCTTTTCTTTGCTGGCAACGCAGAGGTGATGGCATCCGCTGCTAAACTCAGCTCCCCCCACATATGGGGTTTATCCAGGGGCAAGCCAACACCACAGAGGGCAGGGAGGGCTTTCCCTTGGTGCCCAGGAAGTGAGTGGGATGGAGGGATGGAGAGGGAGTGGGAAAAGCAGGCCCAAGGTTTACTCCAAGAGACAGGCACAGCCCTGCTGACGGGATGGCTGGGGTGGGAGGCTGCCCACGGCGCTCCACGGCACACCTTGCCTCCTCCTCAGAGCCGTGCCAGCCTCGCCGCGTGGCCAGCATTGCAGGGGGAGACGCATCGCTCATTATTCTGTTCCTCTCTGCCTTTAGTCATCTCCCTCCTTCCCTTGGCTCTGCATCACGGAGGTGGGTGGACGGAAGGTTATCTGGGGCTGCCGCCTCACCCACCGCTTCCCCGGCATGCCTGACGAAACCAGCCCAGGGGATCCTTCCTTTTTGGGCTAAGCAATTCTTGCTCCGGGCCCAAGGTAGAGGCAAAAGCCTCGTTTTCAGGGATTCTTCAGAGCATCCTCTGTCCTCGGGGCTGAGGGAACATGGGGAGAGCTGGCAGGACCACACAGAGAGGCCCCCATTGATGCCCCACACTTATTGATGCCCTCGTTTTACAGCCCTGGGCAGCAATTCCCTCTCCAACAGCATGAGAAAATTTCAGTGATTAGCAGCCAGGATCAGCATGGACCATACTCAGGTCCTTTCCCTTCAGTTTATCCCCAGTGGGATCCAACAATCCTTTCTTAATGCAAGAGAAGCACCCTGGTGCCTGCAGGTGAGGCTGTCCCCTTGCTGGGAAGTTTGGCTTCCAGAGTTGACCTCAGTCAAAATTGCTGGTCTGTGACTGTTATTAATCCTTGTCTTTGTTGTAAATACAAGGGTAAATGCAGCAGCATTTTGGGGGCAATAATTGAGGAAACACCATCTGCACAGGGACATGGCTTTGGGTTTACCCACCATACATGTGTCCTCAACAGGAACTACCCCTGTGTCTGCATCAACCCTGATGCAAGCTAAGAAATCCCTTGAACTGCATTTTGAGGTTTATCAAAATAAAAATGAACACCTCCCAGATGATTTCCAGGTGTTGTAGCTAACAAAGGACAGGCACAACAAATGAGATCATTTTGCAGTCTCACCTGCCTTGCTGTGCCCAGGCTGGGTCTCTGTGACAATAAGGAGCTTTTTTGAGTTGCATATAGGGTAACCAGAATCTATCTTAGAGAAAAGAGAGCGGCCCCAGACCCTTTACTGTTGAGTGCCTCCTTGTCACATGCCAGCCAAATTCCAGCTGGCGGGAAAGTATCCAGGAGCATTGCACAGTGAGAGGCATTGGTGGCTCCTGGTGCTGTGTCATGAGTGTCATACTGTGAGAGCAGAGACTTCTGCATCACTGCAGGAGCTGATGCTGGGCCCAGATTGCTGGGGAGAAGTGCAAGCCCCAGCTGGCTGTTGGTGCTAAGTGATCCCAGGGAGCCTGAGCTCCAGTGTGGCCCTCCTGGCCACAGCTCCCCTGGAAGGGCAGAGCACCCCATCATCTAACACCAAGCACTGAGGCTGTGGGCAGCCAGGGGCGTGCTTGGCCTGAGCCCACTTGTGTATGAGAAGATGTGACTAAGTGTTAGCTCTTCTGCATGAGAAAACAAGACTACGGAGCCATCTGATTTTCAAGGCAGAGCAAAAAAAGCAGGAATTGTCCACTTNACAGCTCCCCTGGAAGGGCAGAGCACCCCATCATCTAACACCAAGCACTGAGGCTGTGGGCAGCCAGGGGCGTGCTTGGCCTGAGCCCACTTGTGCATGATAGTATGTGACTAAGTGTTAGCTCTTCTGCATGAGAAAACAAGACTACGGAGCCATCTGATTTTCAAGGCAGAGCAAAAAAAGCAGGAATTGTCCACTCGCATCAAGCATGGATCTGGAAGCAATGCCTGTGTGTCACTAATGAGGATCCTGCAAGTGGGAGAGGCGGCAAAGGGCCACAGCCACTCAGTCCTGAGATGTTGCAGGAATGGGTTGGAGATGAGCTGTGGCCTCTGCATTCCCCCCAGGCATACTTCAGCAGGAGAAGCTCAAGTGATGCTCCAAGCATGTGTGTGAGGAAGAGGAGGCGTAACTGGAGACCCCACTCCATCCTGATAGCCACCTCCACCCAATCCTGCAAATTTTGGCACCAGCATCACTGGTCCCCCAGCTTGGCTCTGTGCCAGGGCTACATCCCAGGGGTGTAGGGAGGCAGGGGTGGGATGCTGGTGACTGGCACAATCCCCGCTGGTCCGTGTGGCTGCGGCGTCGGTGTCTCCTCCTGGGGAGCAGCCAGCAAGGGGAGGTTTTCTCCGCCAAGGACCACCTCCTCTTTCCCCAGCTCCCCGCCTGCCTCAGAGTCTCTCCGTGGAGACGCGGTGGTGAGGGAGGTCCTCGGCGGCTCCCACTCTCCCACTCCATCTGTTCAGCGCTCCACGCTGCGCCGAGCGCTCGGCTGATGAACGCTGGCCTCTCCTCCAGCCGCGCATCCCTCTGCCCCCTGGGCCAGCCACCCTGGGGTGGGACGGATGCTCTCGGGGCTCCCGCGCCCCAGACAGTCCCGCAGCTGAGGGGAACCATTCCGGGAGGGCCGGCAGCAAGTGGTTGCCCATGGGGGAAAGACGCGGCGTTTGATTTCCCGCAGGGTAACTCCGGGCTCGGCTTCAGCATAGCGGGAGGAATCGACAACCCCCATGTTCCGGATGACCCGGGTATCTTCATCACCAAGATCATCCCCGGGGGAGCGGCAGCCATGGATGGCCGTCTAGGGTGAGTACAGGGCTGGGGGAGCAGCTCCATCAGAGTGTCACCCAGGATCTCAGCCCAGACCCTCTAGTCCCCTTCCCTGCCATGGGCCCTGGCCCCCCCATGTCTCTTCCCACAGCTAGATCCTCTCAGTACAGGGATGCCCCTCGGTCCTGGCCACCAGCCTCCTATCTGTAGCCACCTCTCCTCCCCTCCCTGTGCGAGGTTCCTGCTCCCATCCTTCCAGCCACAGCCCAGGGCAGGATCCAGTCTTTCCTCTCATATCCCACCTCCACCAGGGTTGCACCATAAGGACCAGCCCCACTGCCTCCTGCTTTGGGAGGGACCATGCTCTCACCCCAGCAGGGCAGGATCTGGCCAGCTTGAGCAGCTTTCCTTTGTGCATCTGGAGGAGGGTGGCAGATGTAACCAGAGGAGGGTGGCACGGGCTGGTGGTTCCCCAGGAAGCTCAGGGCCACGCTGTGCCCCCAGGGTGAATGACTGCGTGCTGCGGGTGAACGACGTGGACGTCTCCGAGGTTGTGCACAGCAAAGCTGTGGAGGCCCTGAAGGAAGCGGGCCCCGTGGTGCGGCTCGTGGTGCGGCGCCGGCAGCCCCCGCCAGAGACCATCATGGAGGTTAACCTGATGAAGGGCCCCAAAGGTGAGCCCCTCACTCTGCTCGCTTGACTGGGGTGCCTCCCAGGAGGGTATGGGGTGACCCCTCGGTGTGAGATGCCAGGAGATGCAGGGCAGCATCGTGGGGCATGTGGGATGCAAGGTGGCACTGCCGCAGTGCAGGATGCTGCGGGGTGGCCCAGCAGTGTGGGATGCTGTGGGGCACAGGGTATGGGAAAGACTCACAGTGCAGTGAGTGGTGGCTGGGCTGGCTCCAGGCAGCTGCAGGGTGGCCCATTGCCTGCTGAGTTTGGGACAGGGTGAGAAGTCCAGCGAGGCAGAGGGGCCGTGTGCCAGCCTGGGATTCTGTCCATCTGTGTGTCCCTCATCTTCCTTCTCACTCCTCCTCAGGCCTGGGGTTCAGCATTGCAGGGGGCATTGGGAACCAGCACATCCCTGGCGACAACAGCATCTACATCACCAAGATCATCGAGGGAGGTGCTGCCCAAAAGGACGGGCGCCTGCAGATCGGGGACCGGCTGCTTGCGGTAAGCCCTGTGGCCACAGCCAGCCGTGAGGTGAAGCTGGGCAGGCTTCACCATGCTGCAGTGCTGATCCTGAGCTCCAACACCCCTCCTGTCAGCAGCCTCATGCCCCTTCCTTGAGGTCCCCACTGGGATGGTGCTGTGGGAGGGGCAGGAGCAATACTGGCTGCAGGCAGGGGGGCCAAACCCAAGGAGATGGGACCCTGTCTTTGGAGATACTGCAGCACCTACCCTGTGGAAAACTGCTCCCCTCCCGCAGGACTGCACTGGTCCCTGCCCTCCCACTCATCCATCTCACCCAGCCCTTTCCCTCCGGCAGGTGAATAACACAAACCTGCAGGATGTGCGGCACGAGGAGGCAGTGGCTGCCCTGAAGAACACCTCTGACATGGTGTACCTGAAAGTGGCCAAGCCCGGCAACATCCACCTCAACGACATGTACGCGCCCCCCGACTACGCCAGCAGTACGTACGCACTGGGCTGGGCACGGGGGCTGGGGGACATGGAGTGTGCTGGGGGGCAAGAAATGCTGGGCTGGTCTGCATGTCCTCGTTGTGCATGGATTTCTGCTCCTGATGACCTTCTGCTCCCCTGCAGCCTTCTCAGCCTTGGCTGACAACCACATAAGCCATAACTCCAGTCTGGGCTACCTGGGCAGCGTTGAGAGCAAGCCTGCCTATCCCGTCCCAACCCAGGTGACTCCGTCCCGATACTCGCCTATTCCTCGGCACATGATTGGAGATGATGACTTCACCAGGTGAGTACTAGGCATGAGAATCCCCTAAGCCCTGATGATTCTCCTTTCCTCTCTTTCCCTCTGTGGTGGCTTGACCTCATCCCCACTGCCAGTGCAGAGCCTCAGCCAAAAGCCTGTAGGTGCATGGTGCAAAGCTTTAGGCCCCCATAATGTGCTCTGTGCTCACCCACCTGCTGTGTCAATCCCTGGCTCGCTGCATCCACTCCCTCTCCATTCCCCCTCCTGCTCTTTCACAAGCTTTATCCCATCTGCATTTCTGCTTAGTTCTCCTGCTTGTTTTACAATACCTGGAATACAAGGTGTCCTCTGCCAGCAGTGCCACAGGCTCCCAGGATGTCCCTAAGTGGAGCTGTGCTGGGGATGAAGGGCTGGGGGGAGCATAGCCTTGCAAACAAATGGGGCTCCTCCTCCCACACTCCTTGAGACTGACATCCCAAACCACCTGCACACAGGTACCATTTCAACAGCTGCCAGCCCCGGGCTTGCCAGCCCCCTGCCCAGCCCTGCCACAGCCCCCTTTTCCCCACTAGAATCATTTATGCAGGTTTGTTTCCAGAACCTAGGAAATAAAGAGGAGCACAAAGACATTGCTCTGAGCCTGAATGTGGTACAAAATTTCTTCAAAGCCTCAAGCTGAGAATAAGAGAGCGAGATCTGGCAGGTCCTGCTCTGCTTGCCTAGGCTTACAGCTTTCGCTCTGCTTGCCACAGCCTCGGGGCCAGTGTTGAGCCTGCTCTGGATTTGGTATCCCCAGGGCCAGGACTGTAGGCTTAGGCTGTATTCTAAGGACCAACACTCGAGTTAGGCTTAGGTCTGGCTCTACATCTGGAACAAGGTCTCAGGCTGGTTTTGGGGTTGTGTTCACAGTGGAAGATAGCTTCGGCTGGGATTCTCCCATTCTGCACGTCAGTGGTGGATGCTGGAGTGGGACACTGACTTTCCATCTGCTGTCAGGTCTGCTGTCCTCCTGGAGAATGGCTGCACTCATCTTTGGCACAGGGATTTCTCTTTTCTTGGTGCTCAGCCACAGCTGGGTGCCTCTGCACGCCATGACCTGTGCAGCACTGGCTTCCACACACCATCTCTCCCACATGGTCTTGGCACCAATGATGCCAGTTCTACAGCCTGTTTCTGGTGCTGCATCCTCACCAGGTGTAGCAACTCCTGTGCTGTCAGGGCACTAGGGGATGATGCCACAGGCAGGGGCAGTGCTTTCTGCCATTACATTGCACTAGAGAAGCACTGAGTCCCAGCACTTGGAAAACACACCAGGGACACTGATCCCATCAGGATGTCCCTTCTTACATGTGCCAGCATTCTTATTTGTAGGTTAGAGAGTGGAAAGAACAGCCCAGCCTAGGCTGGACACAGCCAGTGGCAATGGCACAGTGATGTCTATGCAGTGGCTCAGCAGTGGCTTGGCAGTGACAATGGCACAGTGATGGTTTGGCAGTGGCACAGTGGTGGCTCCCTGTGGCTTGGCAGTGGCAATGGCACAGTGGTGGCTCGGCAGTGGCCCCGGTGCAGCACGTGCCGGTGGCCACTAGAGGATGGTGCTGCCTTGTGGAGGGCCACACTGCAGATGGGCTGGCACCACTGGGCCACCGTGCCCAGCCACAGCCCCCTGCTCCCCAATAGATTCACAACCTGCGGTGTGCTCAGCACCTTCCTCATCCACCCCTGGACAGTGCTGAAAGCCTCTTGTGCATCACTGACCCCACAGGTGTCACACCTTCATCACTGAGGGTCTGTTGGCTGTGAGGTACCTGTCTGAGGCTTCATTTCCTCTGTTCATTCCTGTATCTCTCTACCTTCCATCAAAGTGTCTAGTCCTCATGGGTGCTGGACGTGCTTCCCCTCAGACTGAATTCGGATGGTGGTTCCTGCACATTGCTTGGGCAGCAGCAAAACCCAAAGGGCAGAGCAGGTTCATCTCCTGGTTGGAAGCAGGGTTTGAAGACCCAGAAATCTGACCTAGTTCTTGCCCTGGAAGAACTCTAGCCCTAGGGACAGCTTTGCTGCAGAGGGATTGATAGCTGCAGCCCTCCCTGACCCCTTCCAACTGACCCTGAGCCAAGCATTGCTGGCTTTTTGAGGATGTGGTGTTGAACATCTTTTGACCCCAATGGCATTTCCATGGTGTTTCCCTGGTCTTCTCCTGATTCTGGTGCATCCCAGGCCCTTGCTATGGTCCAGCTGAGTCCTGAGCCCTGCTTGGCTCAGACCTCAAATGCATCCAAAGGCCATAAAGATAAAGAGTATTTTCTGAAAGTCCCAAGGCAGATTCAGCCTCTGTCCCATCCAAAACGCACAGCTGGAGTTAGGACTCTGCCGTGCCTCTGCATTTGAAGGCAAGGGGCTGCACTGGTGCAGTGCATGTGGAGCTGCAGGCACGGGGAGCCTGGTGCTCCCCCGAGTCATGACTGTGCTGCCAACGCCTGCAGGGGCAGGAAGGAGTTAAGCCTGCAGGGACTAGTAGAGCAAAGGCTTTGTCCTTTCAGCACTTCCAGAAAAAACCCTGTGTATGGGTGGGGAAGCCACTGGCCCAGCAGCTGTTGGGAGGCAGAGACAGGCATTGCGGGGCAGTCATTGCACAGAGCATTCTGAACGTTCCTGCCCCTCATGCTTCCAGGCAGTGCTGCCAGCAGAGCCTGCCACACCTCAGTGTTCACTATCAATGCCTCATCATCCATGTCCTACAGGGGACAGCCAGCTCTGTCCCCCTCCAGGCAGCAGCGAGGCCACAGGAGCAAGTGTGACCCGAGACAGGGGACCGGAATGCTGTGCCTAGTGGGAAGCACAGGGACAGAGAGGAGCAGCTGGGGGAGTTGGGAGAGTTGAGCTGTGCTCACTCCAGGGTCTGGGCAGGGCAGGAGCTCATCAAGACCTCACAAGGCATCCTGCACTTCTGTCTATCCATTTCCTGCTCCTCTTGCTCCTTATGAGATGATTGCCTGGAGCTAAGTGATAATTCAGCCCATCAGGACTCCCCCACAGGGAAGGATGGTGGGAGACTTTTCCTGGGGTGCTGGCACATGTTCCTGGAGGTAAATCCTGACACCTGCATCCATTAAAGCACCAAAACCTTTCCCCATCTGCCCAAGTGATGGCAGTGATGCTTCAGCCTGGCCGGAGGGGCTGAAGAAGACTCCAGCCCCACCCATGTGCTGGGAAGCCCGGACACAGACAAGCCTGTCACCAGCTTTGCTGCTTCTCACTCTGATGTCTCCCTGTCCCTTATCTGTCCTTTCAGGGAGCCGCGGAAAATCATCCTGCACAAAGGCTCCACTGGCCTGGGCTTCAACATTGTTGGAGGGGAAGACGGTGAGGGGATCTTTGTGTCCTTCATCCTGGCTGGAGGCCCTGCTGACCTCAGCGGGGAGCTGCGGAGGGGAGACCGCATCCTCTCGGTGAGTAGGTGGGGCACCCACTGCCCCTCCATGGCCTCCCCCAGCCCCGGGAGGACACCTGTCTCCTGCCACCCCAGCAAGACGCAGCTCGATGGGATGCACCCCCAGTGCGGGTGTGGACATGGCTGCGGTGGGGGGCAGCCCCGATAGCCGGGAGGGCCGGGGGCAGGTACCGGGGATGTCGGTATAGAGATGCCGGTACTGGAAGTGCCAGTAGTGGGGCACGGTGGCAGGGTGATGAGGCACTGAGAGTGTGGGTACCATGGCTACCGGTACAGGAGCGGGGCAGCGAGACACAGGGCACACCCCGCCGGTCCGGTCCCGTCCAGCGGAGCCGCTCTGTTCCCCGCAGGTGAACGGCGTGAACCTCCGCAACGCCACCCACGAGCAGGCGGCAGCGGCGCTGAAGCGGGCGGGGCAGACGGTGACCATCATCGCGCAGTACCGGCCCGAAGGTACCGCCACGGGGAAACCGGGAACCGGGAACCGAGACCGGAGCGGGGCGGGGCGGGGCGGGCGGGGTGTGCAGATGAAGGGGCGGGGCATGCAGATCAGGGGGCGTGGCGGCCGCTGGCGCGCGGGCCGGGGGGCCGGGGCGGGGGCCGGGGGGCGAGGCGCCGATTGGCGCGGGGCGGGGCCCGGGGGCGGGGCGGGCGCCCATTGGCCGGCGCGGCGGGAGGGGGCGTGGCCGCGGCGTCCCGCCGGCCGTGCCTGCGCGGCTTTGTGTGAGGGCCGGGCGGGAGCGGGGCCGCGGCCGCCGCCCCCCGCCGGCAGGTGAGCGCTACCCGCGGCACCCGGGCCGGGCCGCCCCCCGGCACCGCCGCCGCCACCGGGCTCGGCGGGACGGGCTTCTCTGCGGGGGAGGAGGGAGAGCTCTGCGTGCCCGAGGGCGTCGCCGCGAGGCCCGGCGCCGTGGGGTCCCGCGGGCCTGGCTGGGGCAGACGCGGCCGGGGGGGTGCCCTGGGGGTCCCTCGTGCTGAGGGCGACCCGCCGTGCGGGCGAGGCTGGGTCGGGGTTCGCCCCCACCTCCGAGCATCGCACCTGCGAGCCTGCGGTGAGCGCCGGGCTCTGGTTCCAGCGGCGGCGCGGGGCGGGTGGTCCCGCGGGGGGCAGCGGTGGCAGCGGGAAGGGAGGAGCTGGCAGCCCGAACCCTCCCTGGACGGCAGCGCTGGAGAGTGGCCCATTGGCTGGGAGGGGGAGCGCTGGGAGGATCCTCCCCCAGCCAGCGAGGGGCCAGGGGATGCTCCCGGGGCTGTGCCGTGTCCCGACCGGCACCGTGCATGTGCCGGGATGCACCATTCCCGTCCCTTGGAAAAGGTGTCTCTCCTGAGCCTCACTGGCTTCCTCCACCAGCGGTTCTGGTCCTCTCCAAGGAGGCCAGCGTGCCACCCCTTTGTCTTGTGCCTCCTGGGAGGCATCGCTGGGCAACGTCCTGCTGATCCCTGTCCCTGCTGTTCCTCCTCTGTCCCGTGGCAGAGGCCACTGGGGCGTGGAGTCATTAGTGCTGCTCAGGGCTGTGCTGTGGGTGTGGGGTTTGTTTGTTTTAGCTCTTTTTTTTTTTCTTTCCTTCTTTCTTTCTTTCTTTCCAGGAAGCACTTAATGTTCTTGTATTTCTGGCTCCCTTTGCCACTTGAGATTTGGCAAAGACACCAACCAAGAGTGGTTTTTAAATGTCAAACAGGACAAAATGTTTTCAAACCCCTTTAGACCGAGGAGGAAATGTCAATGCTGTGTAGCTGGTGGCTTTCTGGGTCTGGGATGGCTCCTGGCATGTGTGGGCAGCAGCACCCAGCACCCAGGCTGCAGCCATCCCAGAAGGCAGCGTTGGTGCTGTGGAATACAGGCTGTTGTATTTTGGAAGTTGCTCTCGGTGCTCCAGAGGCTTGAAGGCCTGGGAGCCATGGAGAAGGGTCTCCTGGGTGTGCGTGAGGCTGAGCCTCCTCAAGGGGACGTGTGGTCCCAAATGTTTGCCTTTTCCGTGTTCGTCACAGCTGTGGGAAGAGCAGGAGGGCTGGATTGTAGGATGTCCAAAGGAGGAGATGCTGGTGGAAAGGAGATTTGAGAAGTTTCTCCCTGTTAGCAGGGGCAGAGGATGGCACCAGTCTCCTACACCTGAGCATGGGTAGAGCTTCTCTTAGGCTGCTGGATGAGAGCACATGTGCTCTGTGTCTGACCTTGTGCAGGTCTCAGGGGGCAAGGGGCCCTCCCTGTGGTGTCCTGCCAGGCACTAGTAGGGAAAAGAAGCAAAGACCAAACCAAGGAAGGCTAGAAGGAGGAGCTGCTGTCCTGCCTTTCTTCTGTGCACCTGGTGCAGTGCCTTCGACCCCTGCTGCATGCCACTGAGGAGGAGGAGGAGGAGGAGTGATGGTTCTTTTGAGTTTTTGTGAGGTCCCTTCCCTCTGAGCACTTCTCCTGCTGACCTTTGCCTGCTGCTATTGCCAGCACTTGGGTTTGGCAATTCCTCTTCCTGCAACAAAGCCTTGATATTCCTCACCTGGAAATACTAAAACTCACGTGATGGCGTTTCTCTGAGCTGGCTGCTCAAAGGGAAGTGCCAGGGCTGTGCAATGACTTCTGAAAGCTTCCAAGCTTTTCCCAGAAGGGCTGTGCTCCCTTCTGCTCGCCTGGGCCTGTGGAGGGAGGTGTCTGTACTTTAACCCAGCACTAAAATGCCAGACTGAAGCTGTGGGTAATTTTTGCAGGTGGCTGGGCTGAAGCCTGTGGCTGAGCATCTCTGGGTTCTGCTGATTGCCCAGCAGAGCCTGCCCGGGCGTGGGTAAGAGGGTTTGGATACTAGAGAGAGCAGGGCACGTGTGTATGCAGGGCTTTCTGCATGCTCAGGCGTTTCTTTCCAACGCAGCTCCCCTCTCTACCAGCACCTTCTCCTTTGTGCTGTCTCCTGGTGCCCAGAAATCAGCTGGAGCCCCACTGCTTTGTTGGCTGTGCTGGGCACGTTTGCAGGTGTGTCACACACATGTGCTGGTTCTGGGGGTCCTTGGGGCAGGCGAGTGATCTCTGATAAAGGTCTACAGTCTGCACTCGGGGTGCAGGGTTGTGTTCTGCTCCCAGCACCGAGCTCACCCCATGGGGCAGAATCAGTCCCAGCTCCAGGGGCACCCACACCCCAGGAAGAGCAGAGCAGTGGGAGGGTAGAGTGGTGTTTTTATCGAGCTGCTGAGTGAGGAGAGCAAACATCCCGGCACTGCGTCCTCCTCCTTGATGGCACTCACGATAGGAGGTGCCAGGTCCCCTGTTACATACTTTTCAGTCTTGATAAGCGTGTCCTGAACCTGTTGAACACCCAATCCCGTGAGGATCAGCCATGGCTTGCCTCCCTGCTGAGCCATGGGCAAGCTTCCTGGTAGGGTTTCAGCTGCACAGATCTTCCAGTGTGCAGAGGTGAAGTGGCTGAAAGCTGGGAAGCAAAGGCAGGAGCAGTGCTGGCTGGGGGTGTTCTCCTGGTAGTTGTCTCAGAGACTATTCTAGCATGCCATGAAGAGGGTGCTGGTGGCAGCTGGGAGCATCCTGTGCCCTATCCTGGGGTAACCTTGCCTCCTGTGCTCTGGGAGGGAGGTGGTGGGTTTGCTTTGGGGCTGCTGCTCCTCCATTCTGTGCCCTCCCACAGTCGGGGTAAGTGTGAGTTGGTGTCTCCTTGGGGAGACCCTTCCTAGGGCAGGACTGTATTCACTTACCAGAGGATAAAGCCAGAGCAGCCCCTGTGTCCTTCTTCAGTTTGCCACAACCAGCCTGGTTTGTGCTTCTTGTCATGCCAATGGGCTTTTCCCACCCAAGGAGCATGGCCACTCCAGCAAAATTTTGAAAGTCCCTTTCCATGTAATGCCCCAGCCAAGGTGGGGGTGTTTGAATGCTCTGCCCTTAGGCTGCATGCAGGGAGTGCATAGGCAGTAGCTGGCAGGGCAATTACACCCCAAGGCTGCCCTCCTGACACCCCCACCCTGATGCTGGCGCCTCCATTTGCCCTGTGTTTTCTGCCCAATCCTACATCTTCCACACCAGGCTTCCCATAGAAAAGAGTGTCACAGGAGGGATGTGAGACTGTGTAGTGGGAGCAGTGGTCCCTTACATGTGGGGTGTGCAGAAAATCTGTGCCCCCAGCAGGATTTGGGATGACTCAGCTGGGGGCAGGGGTTGTAGTGGTGCTTTCTGGGGGAAATAGCCTTTCTGTACCAAAGAGGCTTTATGAAGCAGCTGTACCCACTCCTGATGGATGCTCTTCTGGGATATAGGAGCTTTTGAGCATCCTGGGGCAGAATGAGCTGTGCAGGGCGAGAGGTGTGGAGTGGGATGAAGATCACTTCCCTCTGCTGGGAGCTCCATAAAACCCTGATGCTGCTTTGGTGTCAGAATTCAATTTTCTTAATAAGCCTTGTTGCTTCTGTGTTTTCCTCTGCTGGCAGAAAGGCAGGTGGGGCAGTGGGTGCCCTTTGGTGTGGGACAGTTGAGGTCTGGTGATCTCCACATTAAGAAGCTGTCCCTGCCTGGTGTTGCAGCACCTTTGGATGTTGCATAGCAGAGGAAGGGGCTTCATGGGGAGTTTCTGTGTGCCACGTGGCAGTTTTTGTGTGTCTTGCCTTTCTTTTTTTTTTTCCAGTCTTTAAGTAAAAATGCATCTTTGGTGCAGGACAGGGATGCCCAGGCGTGTCCGATTGGAGAGTCAGGAAATGCCAAACTGCAGCTGCATCATCCCATAACCCCAACCCTACATTTGTCTGCACCAAGAGTCCACGGGAGAGGGGCTGGTTCCCAAACACAGCCCTTGGAGCATTTCTTAGCAGTGTTGCTGCTCCCCCCGTGTGATGCAGCTCAGCTGAGGCTCTGCTCTGCAGCGAGCACTTGCCTCCACAGCTGAGCTGCTGCGTTCCCCTCCACAAAATTAAAACCCAAACCACCTCTAAACTGCTGGGTTGTGGTCTTTGAGGCTTTCTAGGCAAGTCTTACAGCAGAGATAAGGCTAGTCCTCTCTCACCTATAACTGCAGGTTATGCCCAGGGGACAAAATCAAGGGTATGAGGGGACATCTGATGGGGTGAGCTGTGGCATTGCCAGCAACTTGCCTGGTGTTTTTCACCTGGCAAATTTTCCTGGGCTGGCCCTGGGTAGGGAGGCCGGTGCCTCCACCCTCTGTGTGTCTGCCCGACCTTTACACCCGGCTGAAGGTCGGGCTGGCGCGGGGCGGGTGCTGGGGTGGCGGCTGCTCCTGCCCAGCCTCCTGGCAGGGAGGTGCCAGCAGCTTCTGGAGGGTCCCCCAGCTCTTCCTGCAAGTCTCTTCCGTGGGGATGTAGGAGCAAAAGGTGAATTCCTCTTCCCTGCTCCCCTTCCAAGGGCAGGGGCTGTGTTTTGCCTCCCCTGCCTGCTGGGGAGAGGGGCTTTGCTGCCAAAAGAGCAGTAGGTGGGGACCCCCCCAGTTTCTGCGGTCGTGCTTTGCTGCTCCAGCTGGTGGGTGATGGTCTCCTGGAGGGGTTCTCACTCTCTCTGCGTGTTTTGAACTGCTCTGTAGGTCATCAGCTTGCTGAGCCCTGCCGAGCCGTTCCCTCATGGAGCGTGGAGGTCTGGCAGCCCTTGCCCGAGCTGCCTGTCTGGGGTGGGTTGGGAGCAGCTGGTACCCTGCCTGTTCCAGATGCCCTGCTTGGATGCCTGCAGAGTGCTGTAACCTCTTTAGCTTTGCCCTCCCTCGTGTGCAGGGACAGTCAGGCTCATGGGCAAGATGCCTCATGGACAGGCCTCTCTTGGCACTCGGGGTGGGGGCAGCTCTGCCTGCACTGACCAGCCCTTTCCCCACAGAGTACAGCCGCTTTGAGTCCAAGATCCACGACCTGAGGGAGCAGATGATGAACAGCAGCATGAGCTCCGGCTCTGGCTCGCTCCGGACAAGCGAGAAGAGATCCCTCTATGTCAGGTAAGGCTCAGCACCCTCCATTCCCTTGCTCCCCGCAGTGGGAGGCAGATGGGATGGTATATCCCCACAGGATGGGGTGCAGGGAGGGTTGGCTCAGCCTGGGCTCTGCAGCACCTCTGAGGACAGTGTTTCAGAGGCCAGGGGAGCAAGTGCTGTAGAAGCACCACGAAATCCGGAGGGTGCAGCAGGGAGGGCGGTGCTTTTGCACTGGGTTGCCAAGGCTAGGTGCTCTGCACTTGAGTGTCTCTTCCAAGGGCTGCTCCATTTTGGAAAGCAGTGGTGTCTCTACAGAGCCTGGGGTGGCTGCTGGCCATGCTGGTGGCTGCTGAGGACCACTGGAGAGCCGGGAAATAATGGGCACCCGGCCTTGCTTCTGCCCCAGGCAGCTCATGGCATCTTTCAGGGTGCTCTGCTCGAACCACTCCCAGCTAACAGGGAGACAGGCTTCTCCATGTCTCCTTCTGCCATTCCTGTGGCAGGATCTGGCTGGATGGGAGATGAGCTCTTAGGAGGATTATTGCTCTGAGCCCTCGCTGCACTTCTGGTCTGGAGCCAGGCATGGGGCAGGCAAGGGTTAAACAGCCATGCAGCAATACCTGCTGTGAGTCCTGTGCAGCCAGGACAGCCCCTGCTTGCTGCCTGCCTCCTGGCACCTCATGCCTGCCACAGTGCCAGTGGGGTGACAGCTAATGAGTAATTTTAACTTGGTAATTAAAATAATCCTGTAAATCCTCACCCTGCACAGCCTGTTGCAGGTGGGCCTGGCAGGAGCAGGGCATGCTTCTTCCCTGTGAGAAGGATGGCAAGGGCTGAGGCTGCACGAGCCTCAGCCTGCGTCTCCCACTGCACGGCTGCTCTGTGGAGGGGTCTTCAGGCATGGTGGACATGATGCAAGCCTGGCCTGGCAGGAGGGGAGAGCTGCAGCTCTGGGTTCCTGCAATTCACACCTTCCCACAAGTCTGTGCAGGCAGCTTGCTTGATTTAGTATCTCCAGGCTTCCTGGGGTGTGTGACAAGTGGGCACTATGTTGAATAAACATCATCTTGCTAGTCCTGCCCTTATTTCCCTGCTGTCCTGTGGACACCCTCATGTGTGGAGGAGGTTTAGGCCAGTCCAGCTTGAGTTGAGCCTGTTCCCTGCCTGGAAAGGTGCTGTATGTATCAGAGTATTCCTGTGAACCAGAGAGCTCTCTGCTTCCATGCTGCTCATAGCATCTCTTATCTCTTGGTGCATCTCTCTGTGTGGCTTTGGAGGCCTCCACAGCACTGTGTCCCGTCACACATGCCCAGTGGAGCGGGGCAGTGCCTTGCTGAGAGGGTATCCCAGGGGAGAGCTTTCCCCCAGTGTGGCCCTTCACAACATGCTCCAGCTCTGGTCGACACACACCCTGCAAATGTGCTTGCAAGAACTGCTGGGCGCCCAGGCTGCCCCAGCCCTTCTGGGCGGGGTAGTTTCAAGCACAGTTTACCCGAAACCAGCTGAACTGCTGTGCTGTGGACAGGACATCAATTACAGGACTTGCTACCCAACTGCTTGAGTCAGCCCCATGCAGCTGCACTGCATCCTGAGTGCTGTGGACAGGCTGGAGCTGGGCACCTGAGTGCCTGCTGGAGCCGATGCAGGGGTGCTGGAGCTGCAGCCGTGCAGCATGGGCAGGGACAAGGCAGGTTCACATTCTGCCTGTCACCTGCCTGCACTGCTGCAGGGCAAAGTCTGCCAGCACTGGGGCCGTGCCGGGTAGGGATGGAGGTCAGGCAGGCATTGTGCCTGGGTACCGGGAGGAAGCCATGGGAGTCCTTGGCACTGCTTCCCTCCCCTCCAGCCAAACCATCTGCTCTCCTGGCTGTTTGTGCTGTGAGCTGGCCTGGGGGCAGAGCGGAGCGACTGTGCTGCCGTCTGGCCCCTGCGCCCTGGGGAGCACCCAGACACGGTGGGTCCTGGGTGCCAGCACAGCCAGGGGCTGGTCTGCAGGAGCATCATGCCTTGGGGAGGCAAATGCCTCATGTGCTGGCTTTGCAGGTGTCCAGCCCTTGCACAGGTCCTGCTGTGCCTGTCCTGGGATGTCGATGGCTGCTGCGGGAGGAGCCGTGGGCCCAGCGCTGCTCTGCAGGGCAGGGTGCACGAGTGGGCAGGGCTTCCCTGGGTTTGGGAACCGGCCTGACCAGTTCCCTGGGGCCTTGGCCAGCGGCACAGGCCTCACAGCAGCCTGCCAGCCACATGCAGCCTTATCTTTTGGCCAGGAGCTGCCTGCAAGGCTTATTTACCTCCAGCCAAAGCACCCGTTGGTGCTTTGCTGCCGGCTCCAGTGTGCTGAGGGACGAAGTACGAGACCTGCCCCAGCCCTGAGCAAGCTGGGAAAGGTGAACTGACCCAGTGGCTGAATGTATCTGGATGCATAGGACACACTGGGGCTTGTCCCAAAGAGCCCTCCCCAAGCCACAAGGCAGCCCCTCTTCTCATCCCCATTTGAGACCCAGTCCCAAGTGACCCAAAAGGTTTCATAGCCCAGCACTCCCATGGCAGAAGTGCCATCTCAGCTCTGCTGCTCCGTGGGGATGTGCCACGTGGTCCCTCAGCCCTTCCATTTACTGTGTGCTTTTAGACCCCTTTCAGTCTCCTCAGTAGATTTATGGTAATGAGCAGAGCAGAGGATGTCTCTCCTGCTTGAGGAAGGCTTGTTAGTGCCAGGATTAAACCAGCAGTGAGCCAGCGTTTGCAGTGCCTGGGCTCACAGTGGGCTGAGGGGGCGAGCAGGGCCAGTGTCCAGAAGCAAACACAGGGGTTGTGCTGCCAGCAGTGGCAATTTTTAGTGACTCTTCCCTTGGTTTGGTTTGTTGCACAGTTGATGTGTCAAAGCAGACGTGGTTTGAGATCTGACATAGTAAAATGAGTTGCACATGAAGCCACTGAGAGCAGCTTATGGGTATGTGTGCGAGTAGTGTGTGCAGGAAGAGTAGTGCTCTTCTAGTGAAAAAAACAGCTTTCCAGCTTTCTATAGCTGGTTAGTTTAATATTGAAGATAATTTTAAACTAAATAAACTATTCTCAGGGGAGGTATTTAGGAGACTGAAGAGAATCAGCTGTGGAAGCAGATATATATACCCTCAGATGCATTCCTAATTCACAGGCTCTGGACTAACATAAAATGTGTGCTCAAAGCCATCGTGGTCTGATAGTTTCTGCCTGTGCAACCACCAGCAGTGGGGTCTGATGTTCCCCATCCTGCTCCTTGACACCACAGCCACGGAGGGACGGTGGGGAGCAGCCCTCCTGCAGGCTGCTGCTGTAAGCCTCACCTGCTCTCTAACCACAGGCGCCTGCAGTGCATCTGTGGTTCGTGTGCCTCCTGCAGCTGAGGTCAGGAGCGAGCTGTTTTGGCCCAGCACTGTTCTTGCACTGCACACTTCAGGGAGGTGTGCTGAGCCTGCCAGCGGAGGGGTGTGCTGGTGGCTGGCAACACTGCTCACCTTGGTGGATGGAGTTTTGGTTTAAATCCTCTGAGGTGTGAAGGTGGCAGTGCCCCAGGAGGTTGGCAGTGCTGCTGCCTCGCTGTGCTCAGAGAAGGCATCACTCCTCTCTGCTCCCCCACAGAGCCCTGTTTGACTATGACCGGACCCGGGACAGTTGCCTGCCCAGCCAGGGGCTCAGCTTCTCCTACGGGGACATCCTGCACGTCATCAACGCCTCCGATGATGAGTGGTGGCAAGCCAGGCTCGTCACACCCCACGGCGAGAGCGAGCAGATCGGGGTCATCCCCAGCAAGAAGAGGTGAGTGTCTGTCAGCAGGAGCTGTCACACATGGCGCCTCCTGGAGCCCCCCAACCTCTGTGAGCCCTGCAGCCCTGAGGGCTCTGCTCAGGCTGGGGTCTGCAGTGCACTGCCCTCCGTGGCTGTGCAGCATGCAGGGCACCTCGATTGCAAGCTGGGGCTTTGTGCGGGTCTCCCTAGGGAGGTGTTTTCCAAAGCTGGGTGAGATTCCAGGTGAGGAGGGGAGTGTTCAGCCCCCTCTGTGGTCCCTGCAGGGATGGAGAGTTGATGTTAGCCAGCCTGGGGTTCCAAGTGAGAGCAGAGTCAGAGCAGTGACTGTGGGCTGCTCCCTGTGTCCTCAGTCAATCTGCCCAGCTCTGCGAGCCGGGTCCCATCAGGTGGGAAGTCACAGAGAGCAGTCACACAGAGGCTGCCCTTGCCTTCAGGTCTGCACAGCCAGCCTCACGTCTGTCCTCCATCCCTCTGGGAAGGCTGGTTGCTTGTCCCCTGTCCTGCTCCTGCAGCCGCTGGCCTGGGCCAGACTCTGGGCAGGCAGTTCCACATCTGTCCTTCCCTGGAAAGGAGCTGCCCTTTGCCAAGGGGGCCACCACCTGAGGGTGCCTGGGGCTGCTTGAGGAGCCATATGGGCAGCATGGAAGGCACATGCATGGGTCTAGCAGCTCTTTCTCCCCTTTAACTTCTGATCAGGGTGGAAAAGAAGGAGAGAGCACGATTGAAAACAGTGAAGTTCCACGCCAGGACTGGCATGATTGAGTCCAACAGGGTAAGTGCTGATCTGGGGCTCAGCGGGGCACCTGGAGATGGTAACTAGCGAGGGCAGGATGAGTCCCAGCAGCCAGAGCTCCCAGTGGGGCAGCTGGAACAATCCCAAAGCAAAGAGCAATGTCACTGGACCTGCCCCAGGCCCACATCTGCTTGGCACAAACCCCCAATGACTGTGTAGGAATTGAGCAGAAGAGTCCAGGACGGTGCAGAAGTATTGGGGAAGGAGTCCTGGCTGGAGTGGTGGGGTAGCAGAGCCTGTGTCCAGGAGCTGCCTGCAAACAGCTCATGAAGGTAGCTGCCCTCATGCCTCATGAGCAGTGCTTAACATGCCAACAAGGAAGGGAGAACGGCCTGGCTACCCCTGCAGAGCTGCTGATCGCCCCGTCAGCTTCCCAGCATCCCTTCCACATGTTTTTCTCCATGCTTAATTTTTTTCCTGCATTACAGTTCTCATGTAATCTCCATGATTTCATTTGAGGGTAACTGCCCTGACACAGCTCCTCATTGTCTCTTCATTTTAATTTTCCCCACATGCGTTAAACACCATTGTTTTTTCTGTCCTCCCTTCCATCTCCACGTTCTTCAGTCGATCAAAACGAAACGTAAAAAGAGTTTTCGCCTCTCTCGAAAGTTTCCATTTTACAAGAGCAAAGAGAACCTGGCCCAGGAGAGCAGCGGACAGGAACGTAAGTAGCCGCTGGCCAGAGAGGGCAAGCCCGCAACCCTCAGGTGCCCTGCCCTGAGGGGAGAGATTCAGCACATTTCCATAGCCAGAGGTCCTGGCATCTGCCTGGATTTCAGGACTGTGCTCCACAGTCGTGCCAGCAGCTAGAGAGAGACCGGAGCTTGAAACAACAGCAACAGCTGCAGGCTGGCACTCCTTTCCTTTCTCTCATGTTCAATGTCTTCATCTTTTCATCCGACTTTACACCCACCTGACTCCCTGCTCTGCCTCCCCCTGCTCTCCACCCTTTGCTGCGGGCTCTGCTCCCTCCCTCTGCCTGCCAAGGGCTGCTTCCCTCCAAGCGAGGGGCTGGCTACCTCCTGCAGAGCTTCTCCTGTTCCTGTCAGGGCTGAGGGCCTAGGAAGGTTCCAGCTCCATCTCCCCTAGAAGTGACTTGGAGCTCTGTATTCCCACTGGAGAGCCCTTCCCTGTGTGCACGGGGGAGCCATGACCCCGCTGGTGGAGGAACTGCCCACTTGTGACTGAGGCACACCTTTGGTAGCTGGTTGCAGATGTTGGGGGGTCCCCAGCTCTTGTCTGGCAGCACCCTGGGACTCTTAGCAAAGGCAGGTCATTCAGCTTGTTGCCCTAAGCCCTGATGTGGGCAGCACTGGAGCTGCTCACCAAACCCAGCCCTCCCTCCTAGATGGTAAACTGCATCCAGTCCTTCAGCAAGCTGTCACAACTCTGGAGAAGGCAGAGAAGTGTCTCTGCCCCAGTACCAGCACAGCAAGCACGTCCCCTCCCCTCTGGGGCTGCCTTGGGTGTCATACAGAGCCAGGAGTTGTTGCTGGGCTGCTCTGGGTGCTGTCTGCATCCCTCTGGCATGGTGTCCATGCCAGGCTGGTGCCAGCTTCCAGTGATCTTAGCAGCCAGCACAAGCCTCTAGCCTGCACTGAAGGTTATGTCTGTGTGTCTGGGTATCTCTAGTAGTGCCTCCACGTGGCTGGGCTCCAGTCAGCTCCATGCCGAAGCTGGGGGCTCGCTGGGGCCCTGCTTTTGGCCAGCCCTGCAGTGAGGTGACATACAGCACGGGGATGAGGCAGGCCACATTCTTTCAGCTTGTGTCACAGACCCACAGCCAGCTCCCTCCTTGTGCTCTGCCACTGTCCATCCCAACTTGCAGGGGGGCCCCCTGCAAGCCTGTGCAAGCACTGGGGTGTGAGGGCAGCTGACACATGCAGGTGGGGAAAAGCATGTCCCCTTGCACATGTTCTAGGACTGGCTTGCTGTGCCTGGCCCCAGAGTGGCCAGGCTGTGCCAGGGGAGCACAGAGCCACTGTGCCCTGCCACTGTGCTCCTCAAGGAGAAACACTTTGGCCCCCCCTGTCCTGTGCCAGCAGATCAGGGCTGCAACTGCTCAGTGCCAGCAGATGCTGCCGGGGCTGTCCTGCCCTTCCCAGACCCAGAGTGGCCCTTGGGGGCTCTGTGACAGAGGGTGAGCTCGGTGGGGGGTCCAGCTGCACAAGGCAAGACGTTGGCAGTGGGCTGATGGTGTCAGCTCTGGAAACACTTAACCTCACTTGCAGTTGCAGCTCTGGGCCATTCTGCACTCCTGTCACTAATGCTGGTCTGGCTCTGTCTCCCCCATCCCTCTGACTCCCCTTTCCTGCGCTCTCTTCTCTCCCCCTCTCTCCCTTCTTGCTGTCTGTGAAATCAGGACTTCCCTGGGTTAAGTGACGATTATTATGGAGCAAAGAACCTGAGTAAGTTGAATTCCAATGCACATTGTTCCCTTTCCGTTGCTGGCGGTGCCTGGGGAATGGCCTGGCTGTGGCTGGGGCAGCTGTGCTTCTCTGGGTGTGAGGCAGGAGGAGCCCCCCGAGTGCTGCTCCACTGATGGGGACCCCACGTCTGATGGCAGAGGCTGCAAGGCTTAAGGTGCCAGTGCTGCACTTGGGACAGGATGGGGGAGCTTGTTTGGGGGTGTTGGCCATGCCCTAAGTGCGCTCAACTGAGGGCTACCTGCTGCACCCAGGGTGAGCTGTACCTCCTCATCCTCTTCTTCATCCTGCTCCTGGCTGGGCTGGTTGTTGCTTTAGCACTCAGAGCCACTACCAGTGTGGGTGGAAGGAGGCCATGACCATGACAGGCCTGCTCTGAGTGGGGTTGGTGACAGCATTTTGAGGTGTTCCCACCTTCTTCTGGGTTACCACTACCCAGAGCTTCAAATCAACACTGGCGAGAGCCCCATGGCCCTCCCAGCGAATCGCCACCAAGCTCGTCACCCCCCAACCAGTGCAGAGCCTGACAGGGGCAGGCAGTGGCCAGCAAGCCTCTGTGGGGTGGTCGCAGCACTAGGATCAGCCTGTGCAAGCAAAGCCCCAAACTCTGTCCCATCCTGTCACTGTCTTGTCTCTGTGCGTCCCAGCCCCATCCCAGAGGTAGGCTCCCCTCTCCCTGTGCCGGAATGGAGCCGTGCCCTCCCTGCCTGCTGTGTGCATGCTGCACCTGCTCCCCCTGCCAGCACCCTCCTCCTTGTGCACTCCACCTTCCCTCTGTCTGGGAAGCCCAGTGCCACTACCACGTCTGCCCACACCTGCCAGGCAGCCCTCCTGGCATTCCTGCCTTCTCCCAGAGTAGCCAAGCATCCCCTGCATGTCCCCCATTCCCCAGCAAAGGGTAAAAGATGCCGCCCTTGCCCATGTGGCACAGACTTGTCCCAGTGGGTGCTGGGGCACAGGTTTTTTGGGAGGCCAGTGCTGTCCTGCCCTGGATCAGTAGTGCTGGGTGACAGCCGGGGTGCCCCTGTGCCTCCCACCCATGCTCCTTCTGAAGGGGATCTCTCTGGTTGCTTTGCAGAGGGCGTGACATCAAACACCAGTGACAGCGAGAGCAGTTCCAGTAAGTGTGTCTCACCTGCTCTCCCAGCCCGTGTACGTGTGTGTGTGTCCCTGTATGAGTGTGCACGTTCTGGCACTTCCATCTTGTCTTGTCCCAGTGGTGGTTCTGTTCGGAGGCTGGTCCTTCCTGCTGGTGACACAGATGCTGCGGCCAGCTCCCTCCTGGGAGCCAGGGAGAGCAGGGGCTGGGGAGCAGGAACAAACCTGCCTGCTCCACTGCTCACTCCTGGATGCAGGGCTCTGCTCCAAGCTTGGGTGGTGGGTTCCCAGTCCATGGTGGTCACCCATCCTTGGTGCCCGCTGCAGGAAGCGATGGCCAGAGGCCAGGTCTGTAGCATAGGTGACTCCTGGAGCCCAAGCCTGTACGAGAACATGGGATCCAGCTGCAGCAGATGCTCCCTTTGTCCCCAGCAGGTCCTCTAAATACCTGCAGCACACCCACCATCCACCCTGCAGGGAGGATGGTACATTCCAATGGGCCCAGAGCCTGCAGCGGTGGGGAGGGAAAGAGGAGTCTTGAACCAGAGGTGGGACGTGAATAATTGAAGTGGCTCAAGGGCTGGTAACTGCATGCCTGTCATGCTCCACATCCATGGGTGGAATGATGTGGGCAGCCTGGAGTGTCCCCAGAGCTGCAGGAGTCTGGAGGGGCAGGAGTCAGCTTCTCATGGGTGCAGAGGGGCTGGAGAGCTGCTGTGAGCGCTCACCTGCCTCTCCCTGGCTCTGTTGCAGAAGGACAAGAGGACACCATCCTGTCGTACGAGCCCGTGACACGGCAAGAAAGTAAGTCCTGGTGCTGAGCTGCCCCACTCCTGCTCCAGCGTGGCCACCTGTGTCCCCAGCACAGCCAGGGTGGCCGGGGTGCCCTCCTCCCCTCCTGCCATCCCAGCACCACACCGGGTGAACACAAGTGGAGTCTCATGTGTTGTGTGCAGCAGGAGAACCAGGAGTGCAGCTGCCTCGCTGGGCTATCCCCGGCCTCGACTGCCCCTTTTCAATCAACAGAAAAGACTTGTGACATGGTCTGCAAGACCAAGGGAGAGATCCAGAGCTAAAACTGAGCTGGGCTTTAGTCCCCAGTTGAGGACAGGATTATCCCTTCCTGCCTCAGACCAGGTCCCTGCTGCAGAGCAACCCTCCTCCCCTGGCCCTCAGCCTGTAACCCTGCTTGATGCTCAATCCCTGCAGACCCTTTTGCAGGCTGAATATTCCCAGCCTCGGTGGTCTCTCCTTGCCAGAAGCTGGATCTGACTTTTAGGCTCCCATCACTCCCCCAGCTCCGTGGCATCCTCACCCAGCTGTCCTGGTTGCCTGGCTCCTGCCCAAGCAAGGGAGCAGCTTTTCTGATCCACGACCCTGGAGACCTGCAGCACCTTCCCTGGGGCCACGCAGATGGTTTGGGTCAGATGGGAAGGAGATGTTGACCGTGACCAGGAGGAGATAAACTCGCACGGAGGAGGCACCTTTGGGTGCCCATGTGAGCAAGAGCACCCACTGCCAGGAGGGAGAGGGCAGGTCGATGCCAAAGGTGGCAGTAGGGTCAGCTGCCTGCAGCACAGGTGGGGCCTCAAGTTGTGGCTCTTGTTCACAGTTCACTATGCGAGGCCGGTGATCATCCTGGGGCCAACAAAGGACCGAATTAACGATGACCTCATCTCGGAATTCCCACACAAGTTTGGTTCCTGCGTGCCCCGTAAGTCCCAGCTGACATTCAGTGCTCTTGCTGGAGGGAGGGGAGGGTGGGGGCTCCGCTGCTTGTGGGGTCTCACCCACAGCATGGGGAGGGGGCCGGGAGCACTGGTGGGTTTTCCCCTCCCAGTTTGGCGTATGTCACTCGGATTCACTCTTGGTGCCCACTCTCCTCCAGACACTACCCGGCCTCGGCGGGAGAACGAGGTGGACGGACAGGACTACCACTTCGTCGTATCCAGGGAACAGATGGAGAAAGACATCCAGGACAACAAGTTCATAGAGGCTGGGCAGTTCAATGACAATCTCTATGGGACCAGCATTCAGTCAGTGCGAGCAGTGGCAGAGAGGGTGAGTGTCAGGTGGCATTCCTGGGACTGGGACACATCCAGCCTGAACCCGTACACATTCAGCAGTTCCTCTCCTTTCCCTGTGTTGTTAGTGAAGGGCTGTAACCACATTAAGTGAGTGTGGCACGAGCCTCTCCTCCCTTGAGTCCTGCCAAGCCATGTGGCTGCTTTTCTCAGCCATGTTACTCTACTTCACTGTCATACCTTTGTCGTCCAAACTCCGCCCGAAAGCCCAGCACTGGTGGCACCAGCCTTGTGCTTGGGAGCTCACAGGACAAAGGTACCTGACTGCCCTCAAAGCAGCAGCATTCCTCTGCAGGAGTGCTGGAGTTACCAAGGGCTTGTAAATCATTTCACGTGTCCAGGCAAAAATTCAGTCCCTTTGCGTTGGTACTGTCCTGCCCTGAGCAGGCAGGAACGTGATGCCACTGGGAGCTGGCTTGTGTCTGAGGACTGGGGTTTCATCTCTGTGGCTCCTCTCCTTTGTAAGCACATCTGTATGAGCAAGCTGTTTTCTGCACAGAGTAGACTGTGTGGGCAGGTCTGATCCCAGCTGTCTCCTTTCCAGGGGAAACACTGCATCCTGGATGTGTCTGGCAATGCTATCAAGAGGTTGCGACAAGCACAACTGTATCCCATTGCCATTTTCATCAAACCAAAATCCATCGAAGCTCTCATGTAAGTGCAGCACCGTGTTCTGTGCCACTCCAGGGCAAGGAGCTCTGGCACGCTGGGGGGCTGTGTCTGCTGCCTTTGCTTTTTAGAAAGCATCAGAGGTTGCTTTTGGTGCTGAACTTGTCCCTTGTTAAGTAGGAGCTGGGCCCATTGCTGTCTGTGTGATGTCCCTCCACATCTAATGCCATAGTGCATCCAGGCTTTCTGGATTTCTCTGGCTTAAAGCCCTTCATTCATCCCAAAGAGGATCATCCATGGGAAATGTAAAAATGCTCCCAAATGTGCCTGGTGTAAACTGCTCACCTGGGCCCAGAAGAGCTGTTGAGAGCCTGTAGTGCTGGATCACAGCTGGGTGGTGGCTGAGCCTGGACAGCCCTGGGGAACAGAGAGGAGATGCTTCCTATGTGCCTAAGGGGACCTTCTGCCTGTCCTGTTGTTCTGGCCCTGGATAGTGCAGGCTGGAAAGGATGTAAGAGCTGAGGTTTCAGCTCTTCTGAGCAGCAGAGAACAATATCTGTGAGGAGGTTCGACAGCTTGAGACTGACTCTGAGATCAGAAGAGACTCTGCTGGGATAACCCCTCCTCAAGCCAGAAGGGGTCAATTTGCTTATTTGGGTGTTTTATGAAGATGATGAAACCTAGGCAAGGAGGGTGGTGACAGGCTCTGGAAAAGCAGGGAGACTTCTGCAGTGGTCTTGCAAATTCAGGGAATTGTCTGGATTTGAGTTCACTCCTGTGCTATGGTGAAGGGGGGAGGTGGTGGCAGTGGGAAGAACTGTTGGAAGTTGAGATGAAGTGCCAAGGCAGCCTGGAGCCTGTGGGGAAGGGCCCTGCCTTTGAGAGCTGGGTCCTGCACAGCTTCCATTCCTGTGAGCACAGGATTCCCAGGCACCCTGGCTCTGTGGGCTATTTTTGCTTCTGTTCATTGCTAAGAAAAAGAACTACAAGTTTCTGGTTTTTTGTGCATGGCAGGGAGATGAACCGGAGACAGACGTATGAACAGGCCAACAAGGTCTTTGATAAAGCCATGAAACTTGAGCAAGAGTTTGGAGAATATTTTACAGGTGAGTGTCCTGAGCAGGCTTGTATCTGATTTATTTCATTTTTGCATCTGACAGCTGTGACCTCTCTACCAGCACTGTCTCACTGTGGGGTCATGGGAAAACGTCCAGCTTCATCAAAGCAAAAAAGAAATGGCAGTTTGCCAGGAGGGCTCTGCAAGGGGACTGCTCCAAGATCAGTGGATAAGAGTAAACCAGCTGTAGAGAAGGAGATGAGTTGTCAGGCAGGATTTTCTGAGTTTGTGAAAGCTTATTGCCAACTTTAGTACTACTAAAGGGAAGCACAGCAGAGATTCAGGGTGCTGCAAGTCTCCAGGAAATAAACTCCCTGCGTGGGGAAAAGGGGAGCATTTTCAAAAAGAGAGAAGTGTCGTTTTTAGAGAGGGAAGATAAAAAATTAGTGACCTAAATAGTGGAGACTGTCCTGAGTTATTACAAAACATCTCCCAAAAAAGACTGGAAGTTTGGCTGACTTCCTAAGTAGTCTTTGCTGAAGAGCCAGGCTGGGGCTGCTGGCACTTTGTGCCTGTAGAGATGAGCTGCTCATGACACAGGCATCCTTGTGCATTAAGGAACTAATGTTTGTAACATGATTAATTGTGGAAAATCATGGGCAGGCAAAGACGCAGAGAAACTGGTCTTCCATCTTTTCTTCGGAGCAGTAACTGTTTATTCTAAAACTGAGGAGTCATAATCCTGCCAAACCCTGTATTACCCACCTAACAGCTACTGGGAAAAATCCCAAGCAGAACCTTTTTCAAAAATTGATCTCATATGAACAAATGTCTGGGTAGAAACAGGGTAAGAGCTTTCCCCAGACCTGTCCTGGGCAGCAGCTTCAGAGCTGCTGGCTGTTATTCCAGGGGGCTGTGCTGCAGTTTTGCAGGCCCTCAGCACACCACTGTGCACTTGGAGGGTGAGTTTGAGGGTGACCTGGGGAAGGAACACCCTTGGCTGAAATGTCGTGTTGAAAGAACTGGGTAATGGGCAGAGAGATGGTCACTGTCGCAAGTTCTGTGCCAGTAACTTAAAATGAGGGAACAGAGATGCTGGAGAGTACAGAGGCAGGCTGGATTACCAGGAAGCTTTGGCCCCCCATGTGCATGTTCCTGTGATGCAGGAAGCACAGTGAAGTGCTTCGTGCTGTGTCTGTGCTGGGCGGTGAGACCGTCGCTGCTCTTTGAGCAAGAGTTGCTGGGAGCGGCCGTGCCGTGGCCTTTCCCGGCCTGACAGCACACGATCCTCAGCCTGCAGCAGGGGAAGCAGCAAACAGAAGGAGCCCTCAGCAGCCAACCAGAGAGTACAGACCAACCCAGCACCTCAGGGCAGACTGATATGCCCCAGCCTTGCCTCCCCTTGCTCGGGTTCACCGCGGTGCAGTGATGGCAGTGGCAGTGCCAGGCCCACCCACAGCCTCGGTGCCTGACACAGTTTGCAAAGCTGATTATCAGCCTGGTGTGGAGAGCCCAGCCAGCCCTGCACACACCGAGGAGCTCTGCCAGCCGGGATAAGTGCTGGCTAATCCCCGAGGAGGTGCTGGTTTAACCCTCTGTGTCGCAGTGGGGCTGTTGCAGCTCCTCTGACACGGTTCAGTCCCTGCTGGCTGTGCCCTCCAGCCCCTTTGGGACAGAGGGAAGGCCCTCCTGCAGCTCATGGCAGGGAAGGGAAGTGCTGCCTGGTGCTCAAGGTCTTGCTTGTTCTCTCCTCTTCCAGCCATCGTACAAGGAGACTCTCTTGAAGAGATTTACAGCAAAATCAAACAGATCATTGAGGACCAGTCTGGGCACTACATCTGGGTCCCGTCCCCAGAGAAGCTCTGAAGATGTCCCCCACCTGCTTCCTTGTGAGCAGAAGATCTCTGAAGTCCCACCCATCCAAGCCCTCTGCCCTGAGGGGGAGGGATATGAAAACTATTCCTGCCCCCTTTTTTAGATCGTCGCAAAATTGAGTTTTCTAGTCCTGTTTCTTTTGTTGGGATGAACTCATATCATTCATCACGTGACTGTTCCCACCATTCCTGCATGGACCTTCCCACTGCTCCATTAGAGACAGATGAGAACCCATTCAAGGTCGTTTTTTATTATTATTATTATTATTATTATATTATTATTATTATTATTATTATTATTATTAACTAAACAAAGAATCAAGATGGGAGGAGGCGGATAAGGACTAATGTAAGAAACAAGTGAAACAATGGACTCTGAACATGAGCTGGTATCAGAGCTCCAGGGGCATTTTTCCAAGTGTGACTGTCTAGCAGCTCTGAACAGTGCGACACATGGGCAGCAGAAAGCATTTTATTTATCTGTATATGTAATTTATATATAATATATAGAGAGATATTATATATATATTATATATATGTATGTATGTGGACTAGGAAACCTGAGGGACCTCTCTGGAAAGGTATTGTGTTATTGCAAGGTTCTTTCAGTTCCTCTGTCCCAACCACTGGGCATAGGGAGTCCACTTGGGCAGGAAGAGCTCAAAACGGTACCAGGTGCTTTGGAAGCATCTCCCATCCAGGCCAGTTCCCTGCAGCCACCCTGGGTCTGAGGCAGAGCAGAGACTGGTACTGCCTGTGCAGGAGGGACCAGAGCAAGGAGCAGCAGCTGGTCTGAGAGAGGCTGGGAGACAGAGACTGAGCAGGAGGCTGCGGAGCAAGAGAATGGATGATACTACATATTAAATTGCACATTGTTTTACACACCACCTTATGTGTTTGCATGAGAGGTTTCCTTTTGGTTCTATTTTTTTAAGCTGATTTTAAACCAAAACCATATTGTGTTGTTGTGTTGGCTTTTTTTTTTATTATTATTATTATTATTCCATTTTTCTCTTGTTAATAATGAACTGAATGGGTATAAAATCCAGTTTTTTAACTTATTTTTTAAGCTGGCTCTATTGTAAATAGAATCTAGATCTGTGGTGTTTAGTTAAGAAATACTCTACTGGCCACATGGAACAAATGTACTCACTGTCCTGTGTTGCTGTGGAAAACCTGGGATGTTGGACTGGCCCTGTACCTGTGGGTGCAGGTGAAATGACCCATTCTAGCTCGTGGCAGCACACTGACATTCCCTTCTGCATTAGCCACTGGCAGGAAAAGCCCCCAGCTGTGCCTTGGATGGACACTCACATTTTCCAAATCAGTAACAGAACTGAAAAAACTTCCTCTCTTCCCTGCTCCATGCTGAATTCCTGCGTGCAGGTGCCGGTGGTTGCTTTCCCAGTGGGAGGCCCATCCTTCCAGCACGGCAGGACCTCGCCTGCTGGGAGCTGGGGCTTGGCAGGTGACTGCGTGGCCACCTTTGCCTGGTTCTGTCTCTGGCACCTCTGCACGAATCCTGTTTCCGAAACTGGGCTCTGCTCCCCCTCTCGGGGTGCCCCCAGAGGGCCGAGGTGGTGCCAAGTGCTGGCAGGGCTGAGGGCAGGGGGTGCAGAGCTGCCCCTCCTGCTGGGCACTGGGATTTTTCAAGTGAGACAACTGTGAGCACCCAGACTGTCGGCCCTGAGCTGAGACATGCCTGTCCTTGAGGACACCTTGGTTTCCATACTTGAGTGAGGGCTCCAGTGTGGGAATAGACCCTGGTGTGAAGCCGGGGGGACACTCGTGTGGCCTTTGAGAAGGAGCTGTGCTGCTGGGCACCTGTGTGCAGGTACGAGCGCTCCCACCTTGCACAGAGCTGGCCGAGCACCAGGGCAGAGGTCACTGCACAAGCACGAGCAGGTAAGTGTTCTCCTCCTGTTTGGCAGGGATAGGTGAGGGCACGGGGTGCTGGTCCCCTCTCCCGGAGGCAATGGGTGTGTCAGTCTGCCTGGCACACACAGGCCGCGGTTGTCAGTGCGAGCAGGAGCTGTAGGACTGTCCCTGTGCTGTCTGGGGAGAAGCCCCTCTTTGCCCCTCCTGCATCCCAAGGAGCCCTGCAGGGACTGAGCAGCTTCTGGGGACAGGAGGCGGGACACAGACGCAGCCGTGAGCGCGGTGGAGGGCAGGAAGGATTCTGCTGTGGGGGAGACCGACTCTAAAGGAGCACATGGAACTTTGGCAATGGATTCCCGCTCAGCATCCACCCCCTGCCCCGCTGCTCCTGCTCCGGCTGCTATAAATGTCGGTCCCTGGAGAAGTGGAGTAAGTGAAACAAAAGTCCTTAAGGTGCTAGTCACACCATTCCTGTATTTTTTTTTCCCTTTTCATTTTTTTTTTCCTAATAGCCTGTCTCCCTCTGTCAAGTCACGTGGAGAAAAAGATGATGTACTCCATGGCATAGCTGACAGTATCGAATCGATCATGACAGCAGTAGTTGGTTAACAGTGTTTCTTCCAAGGAGACATATATTTTTAATAAACAGAGAGTTGCAAAGAACTCTGTCTTTGAGACCTTCTTGTAGAGTCCTTCATTGCATGCCAGATCTGGTTTGTTGGTGATCTTAGCACGTGTTGATATGGTCTCTCCATGGCAAACTGAAGTGTTGACAGGGGTTTTAAAAAAAAAAAAAAAATTTGCCTTTTTTTTTTTTTACTACAAAAAGTGGTCACTGAGAACTTGCCTAATGCAAAAAGGAAATAGAAAAAATAAAAGAAAGAAAGAAAAAAAATAAAAAGATAAAATAAAAGAAAGAAAGTGGCTGGGCCTGTAACCAGGCCACTGAAAAGCTCTTTCGTGGTTGGGTTGTTGTTACACAGGTTGAGTCTGGCCTGATGATGTGACACCATAAGTGTATTTTGGGTCATAGTTTGAATTGTGGGGAGGTTGCTTTGCAAATAATAGGGTTTACATGTTGCTACATAGTTGTTCCTGTATTGAATATGAAGACTGCAAAGTAAATACATAGTCTAAACAATACAGAGCTTCTTTTTACAGTTTAACATGCTGGTCAGATATCAGAGAGGAGAAAGAAGCTGTAAAGACAACTAGTATCATTTTAAATACCTTCAAGTGCAGAAAAAAAGAGTGTTCACTGGAAGACAAATGGGGTGAGTAGGGTGTCACTCTACATTCTTGCCTGAATCCGCTTTGTCATTTAGCTGAGCTAATGGAAAGGTGAGAGGGGTTTGTTTTTTAAATATTATATTTCCTTTTTTCTTGTCAAACTGCACACAAGAGAAGCAAATTGAGGTTTCAGGAGAACAGGAGCATTGACTGAGCACATGGGCATACAGTTTGCAGACAGTTCGCAGTTTATGAAGCCCACTGGACAAGTTAAACACCGTTTAGAAACTCCTTTAGCTGATCAGATCCACCTTCTGGTGGTGGTGGTTGTCCACAAAACCCCAGCGGATCAAACAGGTGCTAAGCAGATCTGATATCAGCAGTACCACTCTCAAAAATCCAACCGTTTGCTTGCCTAATGACAGACTTGGAATGATGAAGCATCACAGAAGCGTTGCTGTTGCTGGCTGCCACAGGGGCTACCAGGCTGCTCTGCTCAGTCCTGGTTAGTCCCTGGGCTGCAGCTCGTGGATCTGCAGCCACTCCTCCCTGGGCAAACCAGGATGTGTCCTGAGCTGATGTGTCATCTCGATCTGCTGTGACAGGAAACATTCAGGTTCCAGTGGGGAGAGGAACACAGGGTTATGTTCTCAAATAAACGCTGTCACTCCTGTAAGGCGGAGACAACCACTGGCAGAGAAACCGGCATGGGAAGAGAATGAGTGTGGCTTGAAGGAAGAACTTGCTCTGTTAAAGCTTTTTATTATTAGCACCACGCTCTAACCAACTGAGCCAATCTCAGGGTTTTAACAACCTATTTTTCTGGCTGAGGACAAATAGCTCTGGCTACAGGACCTTAGCAAAGTCCTGGACCAAACAAGTGCAGAGCCCTGTCCTGTTAATGGTCCTGTCTTGTTGTGAAGTGTAGGGGGATGGTTCTCTGTGCCAAGATGTCCTGCTACAGCTGCCTGGAACAGGCATGAAACTAATCTGCCCTAAGACACCTCTAGAAAATTAGACCATAAGCTGCTTGTGCTGCAGAGAAACATGTCTGTGCTTCTCTCTGCAGCTCTGGATAATTAACTGTCTTGGCCTTGGTTAAGCAGAGGAGCACAGGATCTGTGAGCCTACTGGAAGAGGGGCTTTAAAGGAATTTGATTAGAGTTCTCTGAAAAATTGTCTTCCCTTGGATGCCTGAGATGGGGGAACCTGGATAGCTCTTTGTTGCTAATGATGCTTGGCAGCACAACCTTCAAGGACTGCTGTTCTCTGCTCTCCTCAGGATGTCACAGCAGGATCCGTGGCTGTGCAGCAGGTAAAGTTATCATCATGTCAAAGGTGTCTCTTTCCTTGAAGAATCCTCAGGTTCCCCTTGACTTATAGTATTTATTTATATCCCTTGCCTCCAAAATGAGGATTATGTTTAACTTTGGGGTTTTTTAACCCTAAGGAAAAACATTTCGTTGTTGGGGTCAGTGGGTGCAGCAGCATCTCTTAGTGGAACGAGCACACAGGAGCTCTTGTGAGACTTGCAGTCCCTTGTTGGGGCCACACTTGGCTCAGCACAGGGATGATCGTGGTGTTTCCTCCCTTAGTTCAGGGCACTGCTTGACAAAAGCTTCTGCCCAATCCCCTAATGAGCTTCAGCCCTCTGCCAATTACCTTGATTGCTGTGACCACTTCAATTCTAGGTGTTGGTGGCCAGGCTAGCCCCTCTTCCTTCCTGCCCCTCCAGAACACTCAACACAGCCACAACAGCAAAGCTCTTCCCAGAGTGTGTGGGGGGAGGTGGCCCGAGGTGCATCCCCAATGGAAAGCTGCTGGAGAGCCACCTCCTCCGGGTGAGAGGGGGTAGAAGGGGCTCCTCTCCAAATAGTTACAAAATTATCAGATTGGGGGGGGGGGGGGGGAAGACAGGGCACAAACTACAGAAAGGGGGGAAATTTGTGACCTCCTGCCCTAGAGGATCCATTTGTGTTCTCAGAAGCAAGTTCCAGAACCGGTATCCAGCACACCCTGCAGCTTCCACAGTGATGTGTAAATCGGAAACTACCAGTGCAATGCCACCCCCTGGAGCCATCTGTGCACACCCAGGGATGAGCACCCAGGCTCTCTCAGCTGAAAGAAAACAGGGATCAATGAAAAGAGAAGACTGGGGGAGGAAAGAGCAGCACTGTTGTTTTTTTTTCAAGTCAGCTGTTGTTGGCTTAAAAAGATTTATAACCCACAGTCACTCTGGATGGGCTACTGAACCATAAAGCAACGTTTAGCTTAGAAAAATAACCTGGACCAGCCTGCACCTACACCAGCAAACACCTGCAAAGCAGAGTGATTGCACACAAGCTGCCTACTGGGAACGGCCACTGCAAATGCAGCTAATTAAGTCTGATTCAGCTAGGAGAGGAATTCTTGCCCTACTTAAACCCTGTGTAAATACTCAGCCTGGAATAAAATGTGCCATGTGAAAATCTGGAGAGAAGAAGTGAGTACTATCAGCAGAGCCTGTGGCTGATCTGATCTGGCCTCTTTAGGGAAATCTGTAGCATAAAAGAAATCAAACTGAGTACCTCCAAGGAAAATATTCAAACAATTCCGGCTGTAGGCAAAACCACATCTAATGCTTCCTTCTGTGGCTGTATGTAATTACCTGCTGACACTTCCTGGGTAAACATGACCTTTGTCACCTGGTCCAGTGTGACACCTTTACCTGTTCATGTGTGTGTGCAAGTCAGAACTGAGAACAACAATTAAGGGCTGCCTGGGACTCACTCAGTGAGCTCAAAGGGAGGGTGGAGCCCTCACAGCAGCCCAGAACCAGTGCCAGTGAAAGCCTCAGCTTTTTCCTTGAGCTCATAGTCTGTCCTAACTGACTGTGAAAGCAGCAACCAGCTCTGAATTCTTGTTCACGCTGAAATGGGCTGGAAGCTGAAGTGACCTGATAAATATTTATGCAGCAAGGCAGCTATGACATCCAGAGGAGATGGAATACTTCTGGAATACTTTTATCATTCTCAACGCCACTTTCTACTAAA